TTGGCACAAATGGCCCATAGCATGCTCGGTTGGTTGCTTGCGTAGCGACAGCCCGAATAATAACCATCAGACAGACAGAGGATGACTTCCAACAAATTCCACAAGTTACTGGCTGTCCACACTGTTGGGACCCTCGCTAACCGGGTCCAAAAATGGTGGCCTTTTTTTCACACCTGCTGCTGAGAGGGAGGCCAAAATTACGTACTATAAAAACCACCTATGTAGTCAGTTGGTCTCTGCCTTTGTGTGCGCCAACGTCCATCCTCAGACACTGTGGGCCCTGTGCGCTCGCGTTCCGCTGGCATGCAGCATGGGAGCTGGGTGGGGGGCAGTGGGGGGTTGTAGGGGCCTCATCTGCAGTGGCAGTAGCTTTCTTCCAGCGCAGTGAGCTAACCAGTAGTAGCAGCAGCTCAGTTGCAGCTCAAACAATGAGTGTTTCTTCACCAGCAATCCAGTGGTGCTCTGCTTTGGCCCCAAACTAGCCGCGCCAACCGCAGCCAGCTCAGAGCATCAGGTGGACCTGGAGCAGGAGCTTTGGCTGGGCAGGACTCACGCAGGGACCCTGCCCACAGCATGAGGTAGGTAGCAATTGAATCCTTGACTACACTGGGCAAACTTGACCTTTGGCCCCAACAGCTGAATTTGGGGTGGTAGGAGAGAGTGGCAGCATCCACCAGCAGCGGCTGCCTCAGTCTGCAGTCGATGATGGATGAGCTTTCTTCAGTGCGCAGTGAGGAAACTACTAACTACGCGGAGCAGCAGCAGCAGCATCAGGTGGACCTGGAGCAGGAGCTCAAACAACAGGCTTGGGCCTACTTGGACAGCACCCTGCCGTGGACCGAGGTAGACAATCCCCCTTGACTACTGGGCAACGAAACTTGACCTTTGGCCCCAAGCTAGCTGAATTTGCCCTTGAAAGGCTGTCATGCCCGGCCAGTAGGTGGCATCGGAGCGCGTGTTTAGTGCGGCAGGAGGTTATTGTAACTCTGCGGCTGCACGACTGTCCACCCAAAGTGTGGGAGAGACTCACGTTTTGAAAATGAATCAGGCGTGGATTAGTCTGGATTTCAAACAAACACCAGTTCCTGACACAACTGACTAAATCCGCCATGAATCATGCTGCTCAAACATGTGCCCACTTTCAGGTCTCCTCACACTGCTGGTGTGTTTTAATTTTTTGACATAGGGTGCTGGCAGATTACGGGCCTCCATAGCTGCTGCCAGGCCCCTAATCTGCCATGGGCCCCTATATACCGCCTCCTCCTGCTGCTGCCAGTCCAGAGTCTGTCATGGGTCCCTGTACGGCCTCCCATTGCTGCTGTCTCCATCGCCACACTCTGCTGCCATGTGCCACTTTCAGGTCTCTTCACACTGCTGGTGTGTTTAATTTTTTTTTTGACATAGGGTGCAGGCAGATTACGGGCCTCACATAGCTGCTGCCAGGCCCCTAATCTGCCATGGGCCCCTATATACCCGCCTCCTCATGCTGCTGCCAAGTCTAGAGTCTCTCATGGGTCCCTGTACGGCCTCCCATTGCTGCTGTCTCCATCGCACACTCTGCTGCCATGTGCCACTTTCAGGTCTCTTCACACTGCTGGTGTGTTAAATTTTTTGACATAGGGTGCAGGCAGATTTACGGGCCTCACATAGCTGCTGCCAGGCCCCTAAATCTGCCATGGGCCCCTATATACCGCCTCCTCATGCTGCTGCCAAGTCTAGAGTCTCTCATGGGTCCCTGTACGGCCTCCCCCATTGCTGCTGTCTCCATCGCCACACACTCTGCCATGTGCCACTTTCAGGTCTCTTCACACTGCTGGTGTGTTTAATTTTTTGACATAGGGTGCAGGCAGATTACGGGCCTCACATAGCTGCTGCCAGGCCCCTAATCTGCCATGGGCCCCTATATACCGCCTCCTCATGCTGCTGCCAAGTCCAGAGTCTCTCATGGGTCCCTGTACGGCCTCCCATTGCTGCTGTCTCCATCGCCACACTCTGCTGCCATGTGCCACTTTCAGGTCTCTTCACACTGCTGCTGGTGTGTTAAATTTTTTGACATAGGGTGCAGGCAGATTACGGGCCTCACATAGCTGCTGCCAGGCCCCTAATCTGCCATGGGCCCCTATATACCGCCGCCTCCTCATGCTGCTGCCAAGTCCAGAGTCTCTCATGGGTCCCTGTACGGCCTCCCCCATTGCTGCTGTCTCCATCGCCACACTCTGCTGCCATGTGCCACTTTCAGGTCTCTTCACACTGCTGGTGTGTTTTAAATTTTTTGACATAGGGTGCAGGCAGATTACGGGCCTCACATAGCTGCTGCCAGGCCCCTAATCTGCCATGGGCCCCTATATACCGCCTCCTCATGCTGCTGCCAAGTCCAGAGTCTCTCATGGGTCCCTGTACGGCCTCCCATTGCTGCTGTCTCCATCGCCACACTCTGCTGCCATGTGCCACTTTCAGGTCTCTTCACACTGCTGGTGTGTTTTTAAATTTTTTGACATAGGGTGCAGGCAGATTACGGGCCTCACATAGCTGCTGCCAGGCCCCTAATCTGCCATGGGCCCCTATATACCGCCTCCTCATGCTGCTGCCAAGTCCAGAGAGTCTCTGTCATGGGTCCCTGTACGGCCTCCCATTGCTGCTGTCTCCATCGCCACACTCTGCTGCCATGTGCCACTTTCAGGTCTCTTCACACTGCTGGTGTGTTTAATTTTTTGACATAGGGTGCAGGCAGATTACGGGCCTCACATAGCTGCTGCCAGGCCCCTAATCTGCCATGGGCCCCTATATACCGCCTCCTCATGCTGCTGCCAAGTCCAGAGTCTGTCATGGGTCCCTGTACGGCCTCCCATTGCTGCTGTCTCCATCGCCACACTCTGCTGCCATGTGCCACTTTCAGGTCTCTTCACACTGCTGGTGTGTTTAATTTTTTGACATAGGGTGCAGGCAGATTACGGGCCTCACTCATAGCTGCTGCCAGGCCCCTAATCTGCCATGGGCCCCTATATACCGCCTCCTCCTCATGCTGCTGCCAAGTCCAGAGTCTCTCATGGGTCCCTGTACGGCCTCCCATTGCTGCTGTCTCCATCGCCACACTCTGCTGCCATGTGCCACTTTCAGGTCTCTTCACACTGCTGGTGTGTTAAATTTTTTGACATAGGGTGCAGGCAGATTACGGGCCTCACATAGCTGCTGCCAGGCCCCCTAATCTGCCATGGGCCCCTATATACCGCCTCCTCATGCTGCTGCCAAGTCCAGAGTCTGTCATGGGTCCCTGTACGGCCTCCCATTGCTGCTGTCTCCATCGCCACACTCTGCTGCCATGTGCCACTTTCAGGTCTCTTCACACTGCTGGTGTGTTTAAATTTTTTGACATAGGGTGCAGGCAGATTACGGGCCTCACATCACATAGCTGCTGCCAGGCCCCTAATCTGCCATGGGCCCCTATATATATACCGCCTCCTCATGCTGCTGCCAAGTCCAGAGTCTCTCATGGGTCCCTGTACGGCCTCCCATTGCTGCTGTCTCCATCGCCACACTCTGCTGCCATGTGCCACTTTCAGGTCTCTTCACACTGCTGCTGGTGTGTTTAAATTTTTTGACATAGGGTGCAGGCAGATTACGGGCCTCACATAGCTGCTGCCAGGCCCCCTAATCTGCCATGGGCCCCTATATACCGCCTCCTCATGCTGCTGCCAAGTCCAGAGTCTCTCATGGGTCCCTGTACGGCCTCCCATTGCTGCTGTCTCCATCGCCACACTCTGCTGCCATGTGCCACTTTCAGGTCTCTTCACACTGCTGGTGTGTTTAATTTTTTGACATAGGGTGCAGGCAGATTACGGGCCTCACATAGCTGCTGCCAGGCCCCTAATCTGCCATGGGCCCCTATATACCGCCTCTCCCTCATGCTGCTGCCTGCTGTGCCGTCAGAGTCTCTCATGGGTCCCTGTACGGCCTCCCATTGCTGCTGTCTCCATCGCCACACTCTGCTGCCATGTGCCACTTTCAGGTCTCTTCACACTGCTGGTGTGTTAAATTTTTTGACATAGGGTGCAGGCAGATTACGGGCCTCACATAGCTGCTGCCAGGCCCCTAATCTGCCATGGGCCCTATATACCGCCTCCTCATGCTGCTGCCAAGTCCAGAGTCTCTCATGGGTCCCTGTACGGCCTCCCATTGCTGCTGTCTCCATCGCCACACTCTGCTGCCATGTGCCACTTTCAGTCTCTTCACACTGCTGGTGTGTTAAATTTTTTGACATAGGGTGCAGGCAGATTACGGGCCTCACATAGCTGCTGCCAGGCCCCCCCTAATCTGCCATGGGCCCCTATATACCGCCTCCTCATGCTGCTGCCAAGTCCAGAGTCTCTCATGGGTCCCTGTACGGCCTCCCCATTGCTGCTGTCTCCATCGCCACACTCTGCTGCCATGTGCCACTTTCAGGTCTCTTCTCACACTGCTGGTGTGTTAAATTTTTTGACATAGGGTGCAGGCAGATTACGGGCCTCACATAGCTGCTGCCAGGCCCCTAATCTGCCATGGGCCCCTATATACCGCCTCCTCATGCTGCTGCCAAGTCCAGAGTCTCTCATGGGTCCCTGTACGGCCTCCCATTGCTGCTGTCTCCATCGCCACACACTCTGCTGCCATGTGCCACTTTCAGGTCTCTTCACACTGCTGGTGTGTTAAATTTTTTGACATAGGGTGCAGGCAGATTACGGGCCTCACATAGCTGCTGCCAGGCCCCTAATAATCTGCCATGGGCCCCTATATACCGCCCTCCCTCATGCTGCTGCCAAGTCCAGAGTCTCTCATGGGTCCCTGTACGGCCCTCCCATTGCTGCTGTCTCCATCGCCACACTCTGCCATGTGCCACTTTCAGGTCTCTTCACACTGCTGGTGTGTTTTAAATTTTTTGACATAGGGTGCAGGCAGATTACGGGCCTCACATAGCTGCTGCCAGGCCCCTAATCTGCCATGGGCCCCTATATACCGCCGCCTCCTCATGCTGCTGCCAAGTCCAGAGTCTCTCATGGGTCCCTGTACGGCCTCCCATTGCTGCTGTCTCCATCGCCACACTCTGCTGCTGCATGTGCCACTTTCAGGTCTCTTCACACTGCTGGTGTGTTAAATTTTTTGACATAGGGTGCAGGCAGATTACGGGCCTCACATAGCTGCTGCCAGGCCCCTAATCTGCCATGGGCCCCTATATACCGCCTCCTCATGCTGCTGCCAAGTCCAGAGTCTGTCATGGGTCCCTGTACGGCCTCCCATTGCTGCTGTCTCCATCGCCACACTCTGCTGCCATGTGCCACTTTCAGGTCTCTTCACACTGCTGCTGCTGGTGTGTTAAATTTTTTGACATAGGGTGCAGGCAGATTACGGGCCTCACATAGCTGCTGCCAGGCCCTAATCTGCCATGGGCCCCTATACCGCCGCCTCCTCTGCTGCTGCCAAGTCCAGAGTCTCTCATGGGTCCCTGTACGGCCTCCCATTGCTGCTGTCTCCATCGCCACACTCTGCTGCCATGTGCCACTTTTCAGGTCTCTTCACACTGCTGGTGTGTTAAATTTTTTGATGACATAGGGTGCAGGCAGGCAGATTACGGGCCTCACATAGCTGCTGCCAGGCCCCTAATCTGCCATGGGCCCTATATACCGCCTCCTCATGCTGCTGCCAAGTCCAGAGTCTCTCATGGGTCCCTGTACGGCCTCCCATTGCTGCTGTCTCCATCGCCACACTCTGCTGCCATGCCCACTTTCAGGTCTCTCACACACTGCTGGTGTGTTAAATTTTTTTGACATAGGGTGCAGGCAGATTACGGGCCTCACATAGCTGCTGCCAGGCCCCTAATCTGCCATGGGCCCCTATATACCGCCTCCTCATGCTGCTGCCAGGTCCAGAGTCTCTCATGGGTCCCTGTACGGCCTCCCATTGCTGCTGTCTCCATCGCCACACTCTGCTGCCATGTGCCACTTTCAGGTCTCCTCACACAACTGCTGCTGGTGTGTTAAATTTTTTGACATAGGGTGCAGGCAGATTACGGGCCTCACATAGCTGCTGCCAGGCCCCTAATCTGCCATGGGCCCCTATATACCGCCTCCTCATGCTGCTGCCAAGTCCAGAGTCTGTCATGGGTCCCTGTACGGCCTCCCATTGCTGCTGTCTCCATCGCCACACTCTGCTGCCATGTGCCACTTTCAGGTCTCTTCACACTGCTGGTGTGTTAAATTTTTTGACATAGGGTGCAGGCAGATTACGGGCCTCACATAGCTGCTGCCAGGCCCCTAAATCTGCCATGGGCCCCTATATACCGCCTCCTCATGCTGCTGCCAAGTCCAGAGTCTCTCATGGGTCCCTGTACGGCTCCCATTGCTGCTGCTGTCTCCATCGCCCACACTCTGCTGCCATGTGCCACTTTCAGGTCTCTTCACACTGCTGGTGTGTTAAATTTTTTGACATAGGGTGCAGGCAGATTACGGGCCTCACATAGCTGCTGCCAGGCCCCTAATCTGCCATGGGCCCCTATATACCGCCTCCTCATGCTGCTGCCAAGTCCAGAGTCTCTCATGGGTCCCTGTACGGCCTCCCATTGCTGCTGTCTCCATCGCCACACTCTGCTGCCATGTGCCACTTTCAGGTCTCTTCACACACTGCTGGTGTGTTAAATTTTTTGACATAGGGTGCAGGCAGATTACGGGCCTCACATAGCTGCTGCCAGGCCCCTAATCTGCCATGGGCCCCTATATACCGCCTCCTCATGCTGCTGCCAAGTCCAGAGTCTCTCATGGGGTCCCTGTACGGCCTCCCATTGCTGCTGTCTCCATCGCCACACTCTGCTGCCATGTGCCACTTTCAGGTCTCTTCACACTGCTGGTGTGTTAAATTTTTTGACATAGGGTGCAGGCAGATTACGGGCCTCACATAGCTGCTGCCAGGCCCCTAATCTGCCATGGGCCCCTATATATACCGCCTCCTCATGCTGCTGCCAAGTCCAGAGTCTCTCATGGGTCCCTGTACGGCCTCCCCATTGCTGCTGTCTCCATCGCCACACTCTGCCATGCCATGTGCCACTTTCAGGTCTCTTCACACTGCTGGTGTGTTTATTTTTTTTTGACATAGGGTGCAGGCAGATTACGGGCCTCACATAGCTGCTGCCAGGCCCCTAATCTGCCATGGGCCCCCTATATACCGCCTCCTCATGCTGCTGCCAGGTCCAGAGTCTCTCATGGGTCCCTGTACGGCCTCCCATTGCTGCTGTCTCCATCGCCGCCACACTCTGCTGCTGCCATGTGCCACTTTCAGGTCTCTTCACACACTGCTGGTGTGTTAAATTTTTTGACATAGGGTGCAGGCAGATTACGGGCCTCACATAGCTGCTGCCAGGCCCCTAATCTGCCATGGGCCCCTATATACCGCCTCCTCATGCTGCTGCCAAGTCCAGAGTCTGTCATGGGTCCCTGTATGGCCTCCCATTGCTGCTGTCTCCATCGCCACACTCTCTGCTGCCATGTGCCACTTTCAGGTCTCTTCACACTGCTGGTGTGTTAAAAATTTTTTGACATAGGGTGCAGGCAGATTACGGGCCTCACATAGCTGCTGCCCAGGCCCCTAATCTGCCATGGGCCCCTATATACCGCCTCCTCATGCTGCTGCCAAGTCCAGAGTCTCTCATGGGTCCCTGTACGGCCTCCCATTGCTGCTGTCTCCATCGCCACACTCTGCTGCCATGTGCCACTTTCAGGTCTCTTCACACTGCTGGTGTGTTTTAAATTTTTTGACATAGGGTGCAGGCAGATTACGGGCCTCACATAGCTGCTGCCAGACATGTAATCTGCCATGGGCCCCCGTACCGACTCCTCATGCTGTGACGTTGCAACAAGGTGGAATTCAACCCCTACATATGTTAGACCGCCTTTACGAACAGCTAAAGGCCATCACAGATTTCCTGATGTTAAAAGCGGATAAAGGTACTCCCTGTGTAACTTAGATGTCAGCCATTGGCAGCTCATGTGTGACACCTGCGCTTGCTCAGGCCCTTTGAGGAGGCCACGCTATTCGTGAGTCGGCAGGACTATGGGATGAATGAGGTCAAATCGGCCATGGGCCCCCGTACCGCCTGTTCACGCTGATGCTGGTCCCCCACAGTGTGACCTGGGTCCCTGTACGGCCTTCCATTGCTTCCACTCTGCCATGTGCCACTTTGAAATCTCCTCACACTCACTGCCCTGGGTTGTCCATTTTGTCATAGGTTGCTGGCAGATTACAGGCCTTCCATAGGTGCCACCAAGCCCCATATCGGCCATGGGCCCCCGTACCGCCTGGTCACGCTGCTGCTGGGCCCATAGTGTGACCTGGGTCCCTGTACCGCCTCCCATTGCTCCCACTCTGCCATGTGCCACTTTCAGGTCTCCTCACGCTCCTGCTGGTTTCCATTTTGTCATAGGTTGCTGTATGGCCTCCCATTGCTGCTGCCCATCCACCGCCACACTGTGGCTCCAAACACTGGTTTTGGCCCCGTGACTGGCCAAAGGAGTGAAGTGTGCAGTGATTCTAAGATCGACGGCACTCATCTGCATGTCATACTGACAGACAGTATTATTTCTCTTCCCCAGCAGACTCCAAGGGCATTTAAATTAAAGGTACAGTGTTCTGCACTAATATTAAGTCTCTCTGAAGCCTAGAAACACCCTTTTTTAAGTTAAATTCACAGCGAATTTATTCGACTCGAATCGAATATTGTCCACGAATTCGCCGAATCAGTCGAATCGAATTTTTTCATTTCTTCGCTCATCTCTAGTCCCGACGATTGCAGGGCTTGGAACCCAGAAAGACGGATGCCGGCATCGGCCGGAGGAGATGGCCAGGGATGCTGCAGGGGACACATCGCGGGAGCGCAGGACAAGGTAAGTGCTGCAGGAATCCCTGAGCAACGCTGCATGGTATTCCTGAGTGTAGCTCGGGGTTACCGCTTTTGGTACTGAAACTTTTACCCCGAGCTACACTCAGGAATACCGCCAGGGAGGTTAAGTATAGGGCTTCCTCTAAACCCATGGCACATTTTTTGTCAGTACAGCCTAAAACACAGGGCAGGTGAAATTCCAGGTCAGTGCTATGTTAACTAAATGTAAGCTACAGTATACTGTAGGTAGTGCATAACTCCATTCCAAAATATTTTGGGCTATAATTAGGTAATGGAGTCAACCACTATCTCTTCTCCTTCATTTATATGGCTGAGTATTCCCAGTCAGCAAATGAATGGGGCCAGGTGTTGTAACTGGTTGCTAAGGACGTGGCAGAAGACAACATCCGTGACTTGCTTAAAAAAATTGACAGCAGAAGAAGGAAGCTCTCATATTTGATAGCAAAAGAAAAAATCACTACTATGTGTGATGTTTGACTCCAACCGAGCAGGCTAAATGTCCAGAGTTTGGACAAAGGCCCAAACAACCAAACTGGATGAAAAGCACAAACCCTCCAGTGCCTCAAAAAGGGTCAATGCCAGGAAGAAGCCAAGGAATCCAATATGCTGATAGCCTTTGCATAAAATCTTGGTGATGCAGCCCTCCTCAGACTGAGAAATCATCAAAACTGGAATAGAAGCACACAGGTGGTGCGAGCACCTTGCATATTATCCAAGGTTTATTTTAAAAAGTAGAAAAAGACAAAAAACATACTCACAAAATGAAATGCATGAAAAAGCCTAAAAGCCACAGGGATGGCTCAAAATGATGGTAGAGTGGTGTAGTCGGCCTGCTGACACGTTTTGGGGACATATCCCCTTGCTCAGAGTCCTTTCTACTTTTTTTAAATAAACCTTGGATAACACACAGGTGTTTGCGCCACATGTGTGCTTCTTTAAAAGGCCCAAACACTTTACCTTCACTTTCCCCCAAATTTCATTTATCTAAATTCCACATTGTTCCGCCTTTAGAAGTTTTGATAACTAATGCAAATATTTAGATTCATCCTAGGATGGGGGACTATTCCCTGGCAGAAAGGCATGTTTATCCTTCAGTAAAGGAGTTTATCTTCTTGTGTGTTTATGATAAAATAACAATACTCTTCATGGTATTTTTTACATAATGCTTCTTTTCCACACTGTTATTGCTATCAAACAATTATATTTCCTTGTGTTGTTTTTTTCATTACAAATTGTGCAGAAATGTTAGCAGATTTAATGTGGCTATACAAAAATCTAAAGAATCCAGAACATATTTAAAAGGTGTATGATCAGTAGATTTTTACTACATGAAAGCTCAATAAAAATTAATTTCACAATCATGGACTGATCTTAGGAACAATACAATGAAACATCCTAAGGTTGTTCATTTAACAAGATAAGGTGCACAGAATGGAAAACCGTTTCTGAACACAGCTATGTGCTCTGTCCACTGCACAGTAACCTATTGCAAAAGGAAAGTCAGTTGCCAAAAGGACCTACCAGAGATGATTACAGTATTATTTTACTATAGCAAATGCAAGAGCAGTGATTTAGTTTAATGATTTACTCAAAGCTGCCTTCAGTTTGTTGTGTTTTTTTTGTGGACACAGATGCATTTTAACATCTACTGAC